CCATGCTCTCCTAATGATTCAGAATTGGAAAATAAATCTCTAGCCACTTCAACCGAAAACTCCAAAAACTTATTAACACCATTCTCTTATAATGAGTTAGAATAATTGGTATTAATGAAAACTAAGAACTCGTCTCTAGGTTTAGATAATATTCATTATACAATGCTGAGTAACCTTCCTAAGATTGCTAAATAACAACAACTTATAAATACCTTAAACAAAATATGGGCTAAGAAACTGGACATTCCAAAATCTTGGTCTGATTATATTATTTTACCCACACTCAAACCAAACAAAATTCCAACGAACATATAGATCAATAGCACTATCATTTTGTGTTTTAAAAACATGAAAAATAATCAAACTTAGACTGGAACATTGGATGGAACACAACAATATGTTTCCAAAGGAGCTTATGATAATGTCAATCTAGAAATACTGATTCAAAAAAGGACATCATTGGGATTCCTCACTTAATCTCCTTATATATTTATAAACTATATACAAGACGAAAGTTATTGATTAGAATAAATAATGAATTTATAGAGAAACTTCATTTGGTCTTCCTCAAGAAAGCGTTTTAAGTCCACTTCTATACCTTATTTATACACAAGATTTGGAACGACAAATATCTATTCCTACAAAAATTCTTCAATTTGTTGATGATAATGTTTTGTATACTTAGCATAAAAGTATTGATTCTAGTATTTATCAACTATCAGTGTAGAAGGTGTGGAAATATTTTCTGCGTTATAACATTTTTTTTCCTTTCTTTCTTTCTTCTTGTTATAAAAAATGAAAAGAAAAATCATACATGACGAGGCAAGCTTATTGTTTACCTATCTAACATACAGTGCCTGAGAAGCTGTCAAGTTTATCCTTAGATTCTCATTTTCTGGATGTCCGGTACTCGGTGTGGCTTCCTCTGTTCATTTATTCATTTTTTTTTTATTATAGAACAATAATTATAAGAGCTGTATTGGTATTGTTATTGTTATTATTACCTGATTTTTTTTTATAAAGCGATACAAGTATTTAATAATTATCGCTTCGCACCACTTTATTTAATATTTGTTATTTTTGTTACATCATATTATATTTTTATGGAACTTTTTTTTTATTGTATATATAGATATGATTCATATACATATGTAATTTTTTATTGAATAAAGTTATATTATTATTATTATACAGAAATGTTTGTTTGAAAATGGTCTAACAATTTCAGAAAATAAATCAGCGGTAGTTTGCTTCACAAGGAAAAGAACTCAAATGTTGTTATACTAGGAAATGGTCAATTTCAACTTAAAAGTAGTCATAAATTCTTGGGTGTCATATTGGACAAGAAGCTAAACTGAAAGGAACATATTAATTATATTGTAAAAAGAACAGACAATGCTGTAAATTTAATAAAAACTGTTTCCAAATATAATTGGGGTGCAGACCCCAACATAGCAATTCTTTTTTGTAGTGCAATATTATACAATGATGCATCAAATACTCACCTGCAACAATTGGACAGAATAAAACACAAATGTCAAGTATTCCAATAAATATAATAGAATGGGAAACTACAGAACATCCTCTCAATTTTAGAAGACCATTTTTGTCCGAAAAGTTTTTAATAAATAAAAGGTCGAAAAATTCGGTTCTTCTCCCCCTCTCATCCAATTTATCGTCTTCGTGTTTAACTGGAAAGTATTGGTCAAAGAAAAAACTACCTTTATTAGTAGAGACTTTTTTAACTACCATTGAAATGATTCCAGACTCCATCAACAAAATAAAATTCCAATATGGTCCTTACATTTTTCAGCTTTAACAACCCCATTGAAAACATATATAAACAAAAATCTACTGGATGAAAACCCTCTAGTGATTAAAAACGCATTTAAAGAAGATTTAATAAAAAAATGGAATACATTTGGAAACATATACGGACGGATCTAAAATTGGGAACCAATTAGGATGTGCAATTATGTATCTTAACAAAAATTATGAAATTTCATTTAAACTTCCCAGTACAATGCCAGTATAGGTACAATTCTGAACTTGTTGCTATAAAAGAATCTTTTAACGTATGTCTTCAAGAAAATAAATCTAAGTATGTTATATTTACTGATAGTAAGAGTGCAGTAGAATACTTTGGAAAATGGAACGTTACCAGTCCTACCAACTATATAGCCTCAGAAATTCTTAACTACCAATGTTTGGAACACAATAAAGAAATTTCGTTGGCGTGAATAAAATCTCATGTAGGTATTACTAACAATGATTTACTAGCAAAAAAGGCTACTGTTTCGGAAACTAATAAAAAAATTAAAACTACAAAATCAGATTTTCTTGCTAAATATAAATTATCAATGTTTAAAGCTTGGCAAGATGCATATTCAAAAGAAGAAAAAGAAAAAAAAAAAAAAAAACCATTCAACTTATTATTTCAAATATATTCCCTGGTTCAAAAACGAAATAAATAGGTCTTTTATCTGAGTTATTTGTGGTATGAGAAGTAATCATGCTATGCATCCTGTCTACAAGGAAACATCTATCAAATAATAATTTATGTTTAATTTGTGATGAAATTGCTGATCTCAATCATATAATTTTAGAAATTCGCTAGATGCTGACACCATGTACTTAGACTTAGTTAATATTGGTATATCTCTACCAATAAACATTGATGTTTTGCTTTCATTAAACGATGTTAAAGTTTATAAAATATTATATGAATTTGTTAAAAAAACTAATACAAGATTGTAAGTAGCTAAGCTACCCTAAAAACATTGTAAACCTGAAGCGAAAAAATAAAGTACATTATAAAACAAAAAAGAAACAAAGGAAAAAATAATACAGAACGAAAAATATAATTAAAAAAAAATAATACAAAAATAAAAAAATATATAAATATAATAATAATGTAATCATGTAACAATAGTGTATAAAACAATTAAAAAATTATGGATTACTACAATAGTCTGGCCTTTTGGTTTTATCCAGTGCCATTATTAAAAGAAAATCTTAAAATTTCTTCAGTTGTTTCAGATTATTGTCTATACTAAACATTATGGGACATTCACTTTCTACTTTTTATAAATTGAAACTGACAGACCTGACAGATAGCAGAATATCAGCAAAATATACCCATTTAGATATGCCCCATTAAATACAAACTAAACGGAACAAACAGCAGGGGTTTCTTCGAAACATGTTTCGACGGAACACGTCGAGATAACGATAACATCGACCAAAGAGAGACATTAGCCGATGGATTATAGAGCGTGGGCGCGACCTGTGATTACTAACACGAGGCCTTGTAATTTATCATACCCACCAATCATTATTACAACACTGACATTGTAGCGTTGCTAGTTTAGAGTAGATGAGGAGAAAATTGCTAGATATTCTATGCTAATTGACGAATTAAAATGTGTAGTTTTGGTCTGATAGAAACTGTGGTAATTTAATTAGTTCTATACGAGGCGTGTTTCCTGTTCCCCGGATCTGACTTATATACAATTATCTAAATTACTGATGTATGTGTAACATTAACTAAATTTTTAACTCAGGTTCTGTCGATGTAAATTAAATACATTGTTTATAATATGTACTGATTAGCTAACCAATAATTGGCATTCATATCATTGTAATTATGTAAAAAATCAGCGATAATGAATTAAAATTATTTAGTAAAGGTGAAAAATTCAGTGATCAATCAAAAAGTGTAATTTTCAATGTAGTAGCATATTTTGAAAAGTACTAACGATTAGAAGCCTTCAAGAATACGGATTAGATATTGCCATTTTGATGCGATTTGCCTACCCGTAAGCTTTCAGAATATTTAGCTGCCCAGACTTGTTGATGGACTCCGTGACAATGAAATATAAGAAACACTCATCTTAGCCCGTCACAAAACATTGGTGGATGTCTTTTAGCTGCTATTGCTTTTGAAGCGACTAAGTGGCTTCTGCAAAACAGTAAAATTAAGGATGCAAAAGAGGAAAAATAGAAAAAACATTCGACCAATTGTTTAAGAGAACAAGTCTTATTGGTAAGAAGACTATAAACTGGAACAAATCAAAAACTCTTACAGGCAGCTGTATAAAAATGTATGGTGGTACCTGGTAAAAGTAAAACCATTAGAGTGGAGCGGCTAAAAGGAAATATGGAAGAGAAAACAAGTGGCAAATACGTCAAACCAGTGTGTTTTAATTATACTGGTGCACACTGTTTTTGTCACAAGAACTGTGATGATTTGTGTTCATGTTGGTATACCCTCATTAAGAATATATAATAATTTTGTTTTAATCACGTCCATTTTTTTTGTGACAGCTACATATTCATTTCTGACCTCATATACGTGTCGTTTTTAAATAACTTCATTTAGACGACTGTATAACTATTAGTCTAAGATCCGAAGTAAGGTCGACCTTCACCCATCTGTTTAATGGATGAAAGTTTCTTTTTATTAAATAAAATATGTTTATAAATATATCGCAAAAGGGTTGCCTAAGAAAATACGGTCCAGACTATTTATTTTCTTATAATAAAAAAAAACGACACCCTGTAAAGTATTCCCCAGATGCTTCGACTATGCTCAAATTTTAATTAGCTCACCACAGGATAGATTAAAGCTTAAGTTTAAAATTTGGTGTTTTTCTCTTTATCCGTTTTTGAGTTGTCTTCAAAATTAGAAATTTGCACTTTTCCTCAAATATCTCGGATTAGGTTCATTTTAGGGAAATCATGTATAGGAACAAAATAATAGAGAATTACAACATAAGCAACTTCTATGATGATTTATATACTTTCCTTATCTGTACACAGAAAGGAAAGCAAAAAATGGCCGTGACCGTATTTTCTTAGGCAACCCATTTGCGATATATTTTTATCATTTTTATCCATTAAACAGATGGGTGAAGGTCGACCTTACTTACGGATCCTGGACTATATTGCATTCAACTATCTTACATCTTATATACGTTTGTTACATCATAAACATGTCACGAAAGTGTCCTAACAACCCTGACAGTTTTTGTTATGTTTGTAAAGAATTAACTTTTACATCTCAGCGTTGAAATTTCACATCATTAATTGAACAGTGCTATTTAGATTATTTTGGATTTCCTGTGAGGAATTAAGATAAATCCTGGGTTCCACATAAATGTTGTGTAAAGTGTGTGAGACTGCTATTAGGTTGGGCCAAACAAGAATCTAGACATGCCATTTGCTATACCAATGATTTGGACCGAATCAAAGAGATTGTTATTTTTGTTTGACTCAAACAAAAGGCGTTACAACCAAGTCCAAACACAGTATCCAAACTTGTCTTCGACCAACAGACCCATCCTACATAGTGCCGAACTGCCTATGCGAAAGCTTCCAAATCGATCAGAAAGTCAGGATTCTACACCAAAACTTGTCCTAAATCAGCACGATAGAGTATCTGAAGATAGTGACCCAAGTTATGAACCGTCAACTTCAAAAGAACCGCACTTATTGACACAAAGTGATTTAAGGGTCCTTTTCAATAACCTTTTAATTTGCATGATAAGTGATTTTGAAAATCTCACCTAAAGTTATCAGTTTAATATCATCCTTTTTATATTGTTACATGCTTAAAATACTTGGTTTGAGCCTTGGTCATTAAAAATATTCATATACTTTTTTTTTCTGTAGAAATTTGTCTATGTATGTCTTATATTTTAAGATTTCCGTCATACATACAAAACTACAAAAAAAAAATTAGATAACGTTTAAATTATTATTTTGTTGTAATGTGTTTCTAAAGTAAGTACCATCATCTTTTAAAAATACATAAATAAAATATGCTACTACAATCTAAGTAAATGTAGTGAGAAAAAATTTGCAAATTTATTAAAAAAAAGATAAAAAAATTGAATTTTTCTTTTTTTTTTTAGATAAAAAACTGAAGTAGCTTATATAAATTGCATAAATCAGTTAAATAGTACGTTAAATTGAAAAATTTTAACTACTAGGGCACTTAGTAGAATTACAATTTTACTAAAACATGAGGTTAAGGAAATATGAAAGAGTGACGGAGAGATGATAATGTGACGGAAATATAAAAAGTAAAGAAAAATACGCAAGAAAATTCACTAATTTTTTTTACTAATTTTAACATTAGATTCTGTGGTTTTAGATGTCGATGGCAATATTTCTTCAAAATCTTTTAATTTGGTTTTTGCTAAGTTATCTGATTTTAACTTGGATATTGCTTTGTTAGTGATGTCACGTACCTAACTTAATTTTGAAGGTATTTTTGTTGGTGTTCAACCTCTTCAACTTTTTATCTTTACTTATTGTTCTAACGCACTCTTCTTCATGGCTTTTAACTTTTTCTATAATAAAGCTATTTTTTCGCTTTCATTATCTTTTTTTGGGCTAATTGTTAGCGTTATATCATCATCTAAACTACTTTTCAGGGAAACGCATACCGAAGAGTTTTCCTCCATATTAACTGAATGAAAAGCTCGTTTACTTTCGATCACTGTCTGAAATTAATTTTGAGAAGATAAACAATAAATATAACAGTATCATTAACCGACTTCAAAAAAAGAGGAGGTTATCAATTCGTCGCGATATTTTTTTTATGTATGTTCAGACGGTGTCCGATTTTAATAATTCTTCTTTTGTTAGAAAGGGACTACTTTAGGGGTGGTCCCATATCAATTTAGTCAAAATCTAATAATTGTATCCATGGGAAAATCCTCAAACTCTTAATTTTTTATGTATGTTTATACGATTCTTTTTTGTTAGTAAGGGGATATCTCAGGGCTGGTCTTATATAAATTTGTTTAAGATGTGGTGATGGTATCTGCACGTTTTTGAAGTCGGTTTTTTTAAATTTTTAATTTGTAATACTAGTTTTAATTTTTTGAAATGAAGCCGTTTAAATAAAATAATATTTCCATCCCATTCGTCATATCTCCGTCACGTTTAAATGTCAACCTGACGGATATCCGACGTGACGGTAATATGATTCACTTAATATAGATCTTCCGAATTCTTGCACGTGCTATATTAAACAATTAGGTTAGGAATGTAAACATTGGCCAGGATATACTTTTTAAAGATATTTAAATAAAAATGCTATTTGCTGTTTTAAAATAAATATCCTATGGGACGGAAATCCGAAGAGAAAAAAAAACCTGCAAAATTTTTATCTGTTTTATTTAAGAATCGTACAATAAAATACTACTGCTTTCACACTTAAGCTTAACATGAATGCACTGAGGCCCAGCAACACAATCAGACTTATTTTATTCGTAGATCCCGCCATCTGTTGGTCTCTTTTTCAACTTAAAGTTGGTGTGTCATAGTTGGCCAGGTACCAAACTATAAATCTTTAAAAACATTTTGCTAAATATCTCGAGAGATGTAGGTGTATTAAAGAGTTATTGAAAAAGACCCTTTAGTAGATTAGATTTAGTACGCGATTTTAATCTGTCTAAAAAACAGGCTGAGCTTTAGGGGTCTAGATTAAACGACTGGAATTTACTTCTTATTTTCGACATCGTGACGATGAAATAAAACTTTACTTTTCTAAAGCAGGTGATTAAGTCTATTGTAATAACGTTCCTGTTTTGATGAATTTACTAAATTTTGAATATAATCCAAATCACTGGCGATTGTTCATCAAAAACTAGTTTAAAAACAGTGTTGCTGCATAACGGAAATAAACTTTCTTCAGTGCCGGTTGCTCATGGTTCTGATATAAAAGAGACTTACAAAAATATGAGATTTCTTCTTAAAAAAATTGAATACAGTAAACACGCTTGAAATATTTGTGGCGATTTTTAAGTCATTGCACTTTTGCTTGGACTACAGCTTGGTTACACAATATTTTGCTGTTTCATTTGCGAATGTGACAGTAGGGTCAGAAAAAATCACTATACCAAGAAAATGTGGCCCAAGCGTAAATCACTCACTCCAGGCCATAAAAATGTTAAAAATGATCCTTTAGTGAACCCTGATGACATTATTTTACCACCGTTGCACATAAAGCTCGACCTGATAAATTTTTTTGTAAAAGCTAAGCCTAAAGATGACAGTGGATTTGTATATCTGAAAGAGAAATTCCAAAAACTCAGCGAGGCAAAAATTAAAGAGGGAATATTTGTAGGTCCACAAATACGGCAACTGATAAAGGATAAGAGCTTTTAAAAAAACTGAATGATCAGGAAAAATGGAAAATTACAAAGACTTACTAAGTGAACTTATAATGTCATATAAAGCTTTGGGGTGCAACATGTCCTTAAAAATACACATGCTGAACTCTCATCTGGATTTCTTTCCGGAAAATTTGGGTGCTGTGAGTGACGAAGAAGGCGAATGGTTCCATCAGGACATTTCCTTAATGAAGAAGCGCTATCAAGGGAAATAGAGTCCAGGAATGCTAGCAAATTATTGCTCAGGACTTAAAAAAGACCTTCCAGAAGCCAAATATTCACGAAACTCATAAACATTTATTCTATATTAAGCAATAATTTTTCTAAATGTAGCTGTACTTTTTACGAATATATATGTTCTGATGTCACAAGGATACCTGACGTGTCAATATTTTTTTCATTTACATACTATTGTTTTTGGTGGCCCTAGTACATTCAAAATTTGATATAAGTTTTCATGTGATAAAAAAATTTTGTTAACCATTAATCGATTAATGTTGGTTGATTGCTTTATTTGATTGTTTGTTGTACATGTTTTAAGACTTTTTTATATTTAGTCTTAGTTTTGTTTGTTCATTTATTGTGTCATATTTTTATCAAACAGACAGAGGGATAAATTATGTTTCAGTTACTTTTCTCAGTGTAGAAATAAGCGGTTAAAACGTCAAATGTCAATAAAAATTTAACCACTCGGGCATCAAAAAACCGACCAACGCTGTATTAAAAGGGGGTATAATCCACATAACGTTTAAACATAATTCTACATATAAAAACAAAACCAACAAAAACGAACACATTAAGAACTATAAAACAGAATTATTAATTATCTACTAAAAACTGCAACAAAATGTTCTGAGTCTTAACAGTCTTTCTAATTACGTCCGGAATATTCTGTAATTCCGCTCAAGCATCGTAGATCCTTTGCAATCCTTTGGTGTAGTTGTTCTGTACCATTTATTTCAGTAAAGTAAACTTTTGATTTAATACACAATCCCACACGAAATAACTGGATGCAAATCATGTGATCTTGGAATTTAGGAGGAAAATTCTCCAACACTAATTTACTTTGTACAATAAAACGATACAATTTATAACTATCGGAACAAAATAATATAGCCCTATAAAATTAATGAATATATATTAATATATTTTCTAATCTATAGAATATTATTGGTTATTTTAGATAAAATTTGAACATGTATATAGATATAATAATCGTCACTCACTATTTGCTTCATAATTTCTTAGTTATATGGATAATACATCAGAGTTGGGTCGAATACAGGAAAAAATATCCAAGTATCGGATACGGATACATACAATGTAATGGGATATTTTTTAGAAAAATATAGACACATTCATCTAAAAATGTATTCGGATACATGTATCCGGGTACTTTTTGGATACTTTAAAGGATACTATTTAGAATACTTTATAGCAGTTTTTGATATCATCTTTTGTTTGTGGGATAAAGCCCATTGTAAGTTTTTAAATTGACACACCGTATAAAAGCAAAGGTATATGATCAGTGACGACTGTGTTATATAGGATTTAGTTTATTACAAGTATCCGGGTACTTTAAAGGATACATTTTAGGATACTTTTAAAGTGGGTTAAAATAATGTTTTTATGCCGTTTATGAAAAAAAAAAAAAACTACTTTAAAAAGTTTGTCTTAACCGTAGTCTCAAACAAATTGGTGAAATAAGTTCTAATAACAAAAATTCGAACTAGAAAATTTTAAATGACAACCTTTATAAAACATTTTTTTGGCACAGACCTAAGTGTCATTCAGACAAACACAATTTGTGTAAAAGAGAAGACCCTAACTAACTAAGAAAAGAGAAAGGCGAAAACATTAGTTCAAACTATAAATATTCTAATGACAAAGAAAATACTAAACTTTGATTGACAAAACTTGGAAAATGCAACAGTTAGAAACTAAAAAAGTTTTGAAATTAATAAAGTCGAAAGTGAGAAAAGTTCGAAACCAAAAGAGATCGAAAGTAGAACAAATAATCGAAATCGCATATGATCGAAATTACAAATTATCGAAATCAGATATGATCGAAAATACAAATAATGTTTAAAACTTATAACGATCAAAATTGATATATGATCAAAATAAAAAATAATATTACAAATATGTAATTTAGTTCTTCTATTTTTATTTTATGTATATTTTTTTATCTAAACAACACGCGATGACTCCAGGCTGCACAGATTAAGTAAATTGGTCAAGTTTTTATCATTTACCTAATCTATGCGGAAAAACTACATAATGTGCCGATTTTTTCACCTCTGAGTAAAGTTACATATAGGATTACTTGACAGATTAACATACAATAGCCCTATCCTATAGTTCCTGTAGTTCCTTTCAACTTTACTCAGAGGTGAAAAGATTGGCCCAAACTTAACTAATTTACATAACTTGTGCAGCCATTGCAGCTTGCTTCGCAAAAATTATATATAAAATAAGAAAAATAAAAAAAACCTTATTTACTAATTTCGTAATATAACATTTTC